CTGGCCGAAACTAGGGGTGACTTTTCTCTAATTCGAACCAGACCTTTTCTCTCCTCCTTCCTCTTTCTTCCTTCTTCTTTCCTCTCCTACTTCTTGCTGTTTACTTTACTTTTCAATCAACAAAACAAAACAGAACTCTAGGGCAGGTCGAACTTCAATAATATTTACCAATTTCATTTACAAATGTACATATACATACTTTATACATATACACATGTATACATAATTATAAAAAATATATTTTTATATAAATGTAATAAACATATTTATGTATTTTTTTTCAGACAAGCTTGGGTTGGTTTGGGCATTGGGTCCGGTTGGGCTATCCATAGTTTTAACCCAAGCCCAACCCAAGGTTAAGTCATCCCTGACTTTTCAGGCCCAGCCCGCAACCCAAAACCTTAGACCCAACCAAGGATTGAAACTTTCACAACATATTGGTTGATGCATATTGTATTGGTGGCTGGTGACCCACCGATACAACACCTTAAGTTGGGCTTCGGTGGTTGACCTGTTTTAGGGGGTAGGTAGGCCTTATATCACCCCCCCTCCTGAACAGGTTTGAAGACAAAAACTAAAAAAATAAAAATAAAAGTGCCCAAAGATGCAAGCTGATATACCCATGTAGAACCTTGGGCCCAACTCATGCGAAAACTCGGATTGGGTTGGGTTAGGCTCGGGTTGGACCTGCCCAAGTTGCACCCCTAGTGATAGGCAAATACTGCTTAGATTAAAAGGAAAATTCTAAAACATTTGTAAGGCCAGATATGTTGTATGGTGCAAAGTGTTGGGCAGCCAAGAACAAGATATCCAGAAAATGAGTGTGGATCAAATGCGTATCCTGAGATGGATGAATGGAAAAACAAGGAAAGATGGGGTCAGAAAGAAATCATTCATAGGAACCTAGAAGTATCTCCAATAGGTCATAAAATGAGAGAAAGTAAACCAAGATGGTTATGTCATATGCATAGAAGACAATCAACAGAACCCATAGGAAGAAGTAATTTCTTACAAGTTGAAGGGGCTAGAAGGGATAGAGATAGGCCCAAGAATCAAAATTTTGCAATGCATCATCCAGTATCAGTCCATACATATCGTATCGGTGACCTACCAGTATGGCACTTTGAGTTGGGTTTAGACCTGTTTCAGGGGGTAGTCAGGCCTTATACCGACCYCTCAAACAGGTTTGAAAAAAAAAWAAATAAATAAAAGCACCCAAAGATACAGACTGATACATCCCATCCGGTGTATYGAGTATCGACCTGTTTCAATATTTAAACCTTGGATAGGCCAAAACGGACATGGGTAGAAGTAATAAGAAATGATTTAAGAACCAAAAATTTAACAATGGATATGACATTAAACAGAATGGATTGGTGAAACAGGGTTCATGTAGCCAATCCCATATAGTTGGGATAAGGCTTGGATGATGATGATATTTCCAAGATACATGATTGTGATTCAATAGGCACAATGCTTAAAGTCATTTCTTTCTCTTGGATAAAATCTTCACCTGCCTCACTTAGTTGGGGAGTTATTATTTATATTTTTCAATGTAAGAAGTTGTTACTTTGGTCACATAACTGTAATGTTTCCATTTTTCAATGGTTCATTTTTATTTTGATGCTCTTTTTTTAATTTGTATTTTTCTTTTTGACTTTTGAGTGCAGGGGGATCTTCTGAAGGTTAAAGTGAACAAACTAACATCTACAAAGACACAGCTTCCTTTTTCATACTATTCTCTTCCTTACTGTCATCCAGGTCGCATAATTGACAGTGCAGAAAATCTTGGGGAAGTTCTTCGTGGTGATCGCATTGAAAACTCRCCTTATGTGGTTTGTTAGACATCTTATGAACTCATTGCTTTGTTCTTTGTCTTTACTGATTGCATTGTTTTTTCAGTTTATGATCAAAGTGGTTTCTCTTGCAGTTTAAGATGAGGGAACCGCAGATGTGCAATGTTGTCTGTCGGGTAATACTTGATGCAAAAACAGCGAAGGAATTCAAGGAAAAGATAGAGGATGAATATCGGGTCAACATGTAACGCTCTATTCTTTTAAGGCCCTAAGTTCTATCATAGTTCCTTGACAATTTGCAATCCCTTAAATTTCAAGGCCTATCTTTTTGATGGATCTTTATTGTCTTTTGTAGGATTTTGGATAATCTTCCTCTGGTTGTTCCTTTACGAAGGTCTGATCAGGAATCTGTGACAATCTATCAACATGGCTTTCATGTTGGGCTCAAAGGGCAATATACTGGAGTAAATACCTATACCAATTGGCACAGAATATTGAAATTAGTGAAACGGTTATGTTAGTTTGTTTTCTTACTGTTATTTTCTCAATTAAATACAGAGCAAGGATGAAAAACATTTTATCCACAACCATTTGCAATTTACTGTCAAGTTTCACAAAGATCCATTAACAGACTCTGCAAGGATTGTGGGATTTGAGGTCAAACCATTTAGGTTGGTTCTTATGATGTGTCTTCTATCTTGGTTGGAAGCTCATTATACTGATCTTCTTCCCTCTTTCTGGTTATGCTCATGACTTAGTATCTGATTCTTTTGATAAAATCAACCAATCAAACAATTATTTTGGTGACTGCAGCGTTAAACACGAATATGAAGGTCAATGGAATGAGAAGACTCGGTTAACCACCTGTGACCCCCATGCAAAACGAACAGTTACCAACTCTGATTCTCCTCAAGAAGTTGATGAGAATAAGGAAATTATATTCACATACGATGTTGAATTTGAGGTGAGTTATGTACCACATATTAAAAGAAGACTTTTACTATTGGATTTTCAGTAGCATCTCTCTGAATGTATTTGTGTTCTGTTGGGTGGGGCGAGGGTGTGGGTATTGTTTTTTCCATTATTAATCATTTCTTCATCTGTTCCACATTGTAGGCAAGTGATGTGAAGTGGGCATACCGATGGGATACCTACCTCCTAATGGCTGATGACCAAATACACTGGTTCTCAATTGTTAATTCTTTGATGATTGTTCTTTTCCTATCGGGCATGGTTGCCATGATCATGCTGCGAACATTGTACCGTGACATATCCAAGTACAACCAGTTGGAGACCCAAGAAGAAGCCCAAGAAGAAACAGGATGGAAATTGGTTCATGGAGATGTTTTCAGACCACCGACAAACTCAGATCTACTCTGTGTCTATGTTGGGACAGGTGTACAATTTTTTGGGATGATACTTGTCACCATGATTTTTGCTGCTTTAGGGTTCCTCTCCCCCTCAAACAGGGGTGGGTTGATGACGGCCATGTTACTACTATGGGTTTTTATGGGTCTGTTTGCTGGTTATTCTTCTGCTCGTCTATACAAGATGTTTAAGGGAACTGAATGGAAGAAAAGCACTCTCAAAACTGCATTTATGTTCCCTGCAATTGTGTTTGCCATTTTCTTTGTCTTGAATGCTCTCATTTGGGGGCAAAAGTCATCAGGTGCAGTGCCATTCGGGACTATGTTTGCTCTTGTTTTCCTATGGTTTGGAATCTCAGTCCCACTTGTGTTTGTGGGTAGCTATGTTGGGTTCAAGAAGCCCGCTATTGAGGATCCAGTGAAGACAAACAAGATCCCAAGGCAAATTCCGGAGCAGGCCTGGTACATGCACYCAATCTTTTCAATTCTTATTGGAGGGATACTTCCATTTGGAGCTGTCTTCATCGAGCTCTTCTTCATACTCACATCAATCTGGTTGCAGCAGTTCTACTACATTTTCGGCTTTCTTTTTATTGTCTTCCTGATCCTCATTGTCACTTGTGCTGAGATTACAATCGTGCTCTGTTACTTCCAGCTCTGCAGTGAGGACTACTTGTGGTGGTGGAGGTCTTACTTGACATCAGGATCATCTGCTCTGTACCTCTTCCTCTATGCCACCTTTTACTTCTTTACAAAACTTGAGATCACGAAGCCAGTTTCTGGGGTGCTGTACTTTGGCTACATGCTCATTGTCTCGTATGCATTCTTTGTGCTGACTGGAACGATTGGTTTTTATGCTTGTTTCTGGTTTACAAGGCTCATATACTCTTCAGTGAAGATTGATTAACTGATGCAGTCAGACGGGGCTTCACCATTCTGTATGAAGAAGCCGAAATTATTCAAGGGGAGATTGCATATGAGCATGTGGGGATTCTCTTCTGACCGAGTTAGCATCTTAGATTCAGTTTTGCATATTAAAGGGCTCTTGATTATGTTGTCATAGCAATTGTTTTTCAATTTCTATTATAACTTCCTAGTTACTCTCCTGTTTACTCTCTTTCTTTCTTCATTCTTATCTGTAATTTTTCTTTTCCCTTGATGGGATGGGACCTACGAGGGAATGGTTTAAGGCATTCCTACCAAACAATATGCATGTTTTAGAAATGATAAAAAAGATTCTTGTATTGCTACTGTAGAACTACTGCCCAGCTTCTGCTTATACCTTTACTCTGTCTCATTTCAAGTATTTTTTAGTTCTTTTTATGCACCTGAGTTTTGTTGCCACGCCCCTTTCATGTAATGTGAACTCTTAGCTCTTTTGGCACTATTAAATGAAGCAATACAACTTCCAAATGCACATCCGGCATGCATGAGATGATCAAAAGACAAATCCCAGTGAGTTCTGTATGTCCCATTTGTGGTGAAGAAACTGAAACAAAGCAACATTTATTCTTTTATCGTTCAGCAGCTCAGGTTGTCTGGTTTTGATCTGACTTGGAGTATTCTTTATTCTGCTTGTAGCTGAAGATCATAAGTACTACCGGATGAAGTTTTGGTTACAGATTGAAAAGAGGTTTCGTTGCCAGATATTTATTTCATATGGAAGTGTGCAATCTTGGGGTGTTAAGTGTTTGCCAATTTGTGTGGTTTTATTTATTTATTTTCTTATGGAAAATTCACTACAAGCCATCATCTTGGCAGCAATGATTTTGTTCACCAGCCATTTTATAGCTGTCAAGGCTTGGATTAGCTGAATTTGATAGCTGTTTTACTGGTTATGGCATTTTGCGAATGGGATGGTTGGCTGTGGGTTGAGTACCAATCCACCCGTATTGACCCACTAACCCATTTGTCACCCATGTCAGTGKGTCAAAGAGGGTCACAACCCACCCTGACCCTGACCCATCCTAACTCACCCATGTAGCCCTCTAATTGACACCATAAATCACCATTTTAACCCTCTAATTCAATTATTCAAATTAGATCCTTTTTTCGCCAAGCATATGACTATATTTAAACTACAAAAAGCGAAAAACATAAAAAATCAACCTTTTTAAAATGAAAATAAATGCATAAAGAACACAATAAATGGCAAAAGAATATATATTTCTCGTAAAACATCAGAAAGTGCAGAAAAAAACTTAGAAAATAATAACAAATTTAAATAAAAGTATAAAATAGAAATTGTAAAAAACATAGAAAATTAAAGAAAATACAAAAAATTGCACCAAAGTATAAAAATTGCAGGAAATGCAAAAAAAAAAAAATTACAGAAAAATGTCAAATTGTAGAAAATGCACAAATTGATAGAAATTACTATAAACATATGAATGATAAAAAATTCTGAAAATATATTTTTCAGACAAAAAATAAACAATTGCAGAATAGTAAATAAAACAATAAAAATTCAAAATTTTATATATTTCAAGTAAAAACAATAATCATAGGAAAAAGATAACCCAGGCCCGAGTATTTCAACCTTGTTAGGCTTCAAAAAAGAAAAAAAAAAAAAAAAGTTGGGCCAATCTAACTCAGGCCCGAGTATTTCAACCCAAGCACAGCCCAAAGTTAACCCAACACAACTTGGACTACGCTTAGATTTAGTTGGGCCAGAGCAGGTTGGTCCAGTTTGGAAAGTTGTACTTTTAATGAATTTTGCCATTCTCTATCAGGCTTTATAGCCCAATTTAGGAAAAGAATTTATCTATATATACTATTATAACAAGTGCAAATGAACCACATACCTATTGCCCTTTCAAACTTCTATTTACAATGATTCAATTTGTAGGGGCCACCCGTTAAGTGGTTGAGAATAATCAGATGTGTAGCTCTTAGCCTTTTTGATATTTAGAAAAAGCCATAGGGCAAATAAACTTTGGTTAATGTACTTTTTCAATAAGATGGTTAGTCAAATATATTTTTGTAAGTTGATCGGTTTTTTCACAGAGGTACTTTTCTTAACTTGAAATTCTGAATAATGGTGAACAGTCAAATTATCATATTGATCTTTTTTTAGTTGGAAGGAAGTTAAACAAGGAATCCAGATACATCTATGATCTATATATTCTTGATTAGTTACCCTGGAACAAAACAAATAAAATGTCCTCCTTCAAACAGCCACATCTATGATCTATCTAGCCTTTAAGTTCTTGTTGTTGCTATTATTCTAAAATTGTCGGATGCCTTTTTGCTAGCAGATCAAATATATATGTTCAAATGCGACTAATAAATTGCCTTTTTGGTGCATGTCATAAAAGTTAAAATTTGATTATATAATGTTAGCTTATATATATAAAATATATTTACCTTTAAATTGCTCACTATATATTTTTGTTCAAATAATATGCATAAAATTTATGTTTTTACTTGTTTGTGCATGAGTCTGAGGTTATATCAATTGCATACATTTTATAAACAACTAATATATTCTAGGGTTCACCTGATAGTATAAAAATATAAGATATATACATGTCAAATAGTAGCTTGCATCATCTTTGTGCAAGTGAAAAGACATATTTTTGCTTAAAAAAGCATTTTTAGTGAGAAAGAAGTTTTTCTTTTTTTCTAATAAGCATCATTTTCAATGAACATGTCCTTCCCATCCTTTATCTCACCTTGGCTTGCCCTGATTTTTTTTTTATTTTACCCTTGCAATGCAAGATTGGTATGTTGTTATGTCAAGTAGGATTGGGCTAACTCAAACTGACCAACCCAATCCATCGAGAGTTCGGATCTGCTACCCACATGCTACCTATAAGACATATTACAGCCACACATTGGGAGCATCTTCCCATGAATGATGACATACGAGTATGAGAGGTGTTTGCGATGCGCAACTATAGTGTCCTGTGGGTTGCAAATCCTAACTCATCCATTTGATATCCCTAGTAAGTGGTACTCCCACTAGTAAAGGCAGCAATTTGGGTTGGTTGGGTTGAATTCAGAATTTGTTAAATTTTGAAATTTTGAATAGGACTGAATTTTAATACAGCCCCATGTAATTGAAGTTTTTCAATTTGGGCAACCCAACTTGAACCCCTTCCTATTGGAGGAAGTTCAGAGGAGTTTTTTTTTTTCTTTCTTAAGGAGTCTTTGGTTTGTGGTTGTGTTCTGTTACTTCTGTATGCTACTTGTATGCTATTGCTTTATTGAACACAACTTATTATAATTTTCTCAACCAGGAAATGTAAGCATGTCATGGCAGTTATTTCGTGTGCCTCACACATCAATATGGCTCCAGTCATGATGTCTCTATTTGATGATGATTGTATGATCAATGCTCACATGAATCATACATCAATGCCCATATATCATGGTTCAAATTAAAAATAAACTATGAACAGAACAGTCTCAAAAATGGTTATTTTCAGAAAAAGATTGATCTGATACCAGAACCATACCACCCTTTTATTAGAACCACAAACAGAAAACCACCTAAAATTTGTCCATACTTGCCTCCTTAAAACAAATTGTAGACCTATATGTCTATGCCCAAACTCTTGGTCAGCCAAAAATTTGCTCTTTTAATGGAACCATGTCCACTGTCTTACCAACATAATTTAGGCGACAAAAGGAAAAAAAATAAATGGTGGTTCTAAGCCCATCAGCCCATTAAATATGGCCCATCATCTGGTATATCTAGATTCTAGACCCAAATWCTTCCAAACATCAAAAGCAAGTGGATGGCTGAATAGCTATTGACAAATGAAAAGAAAAAGGAAAGAGCAATTCCTGAGCCAAGGCTGCAAGGATAATAAAACTAAATAAAATAATATTCAAAAAAGAAGTCAGCATGTAGCAAGCGTACATGAACCATGAATGGGACAGACCGACCATTCTGTGGGTCCCCACCAAAAGGGCTCATCTATGTCAGAATTCAATACCGGGTTTTGCCGAACCATCATATTCTCAATAATCCAAACTTACCAGATTTTGAGGATTGGGATTTTTAGAGTATTTGCATGAAATCCCGCAATCAAGATTTTATGCCAAAATAATACAGCTCGACTTTTTCAAGCCTTCAACCTAAWTYCATTACAGAATCAATTTCCAAATTCCCATGTCCACACTGACACAAAATCTATACCAACACCCTTAATCAAGCTATTCCATTTTCACTCACCATTTCTGACAAGTGATAGGTCCCACCATTTATTCTGATGCTGCTCGGTTGAGATGGGGAATATTGCCCCAAGTGTTTAGTTTCCGAGGAAAACCCTTCCTCGATCATGTGGGTGTTTTGGCACTATAGCGTTTCACAATTTACGATTGTTTTTGATTTATAAGTATTTTGATTTGTTTTTTTTTT